TGCAGTTATGTTGGCAGAACAGCCATGAAACAAAACCAGAAAAAGAATGGAAGGTAATGTGCTGTTCATAAAGAGTTCAATGCCCTGTAGCCAGAAATAGTAGTAGTAATAATAATAATAATCCTTAGCAACCTGGAAAACAATGTTGGCTGTATGTCAGTGATTAGTTGTTTTGTTTTTAATGGTTCTCTGTGTCGTATATATTATCAGTTATCACACCCTGCTGCTCATGAAATGAGTAACTGTGCAAACAAACAATGAGGAGGGACAATAAAAAGGTGACTTCAATGTGCCTTAAGACAGTGGTTTGTCACCACAGGTTAGTTTTATAGTGTCTGAAGGAACAGCCAATGAATCAGGACCAAAGGGTTTAAATTTTAAATGCTGTTTAAAAACTGAACAGTGGTTACAAGACTGGGAATGTAATGAATGCAGGGTCCTAGTGACGTGCCCAAGACAAACAGCTTCATGGACTGAGTAGCCCCAAATCACCTGAACTCTATAACCAAGCAAAAAAAAAAAAAAAATGATCCTGGTTCAACACTCTGCACTCTGGTTCTGGTATTTTTTCTCCCTCCATTTTGCAGAATCATTTTACCTTGATCACCGTGAGAAATGGGTGGTTCTCCAAATATTGTTAGACTACAATTCCCAGCAGCCCTGATTCTACAGACTAACTTTGAATTCTTCCATTTCTATGGTTTACCCAAAACATTTTGCTCAGTGTGACCAGGCACCCTCCTTTTCCAGGACATATCCTACATTTCAGCCTTCAGTCTAGGAAGAATTTAAAAAGTCCTCCATTTTGAGCATGACTAAGAAGCATGAATTTAATATTTATATGAGTGTTTTTAGCATTTATTTGGTAATTTCTACCTACATTTCACCCCCCCCGGAACGTTCTACATTTTGCAGTGTTTTTTCCTTCTTTGCAGTTAGACCTGGTGAGCCCCAGTTCTGGGAAAAGAACAGGATACAAATAAATATAATAAATATAATAATGATAATGATAGACCATCTGGTCACCTTGATTTTGCTGCAAGTGGGTGCCCTCACCCTCCCACCCCAGATACAGAAGCAAACTGGACAGGCAGATATTTCTTATTTGAGCATTGTTGTCTTTGTTGAGTACGTAGGATGGAAAAACGTAATTCGCAAGGGCCTCAGGCCAGTTTAGCGGATGACGACAGGGCTGCGGGTACAAACAGCTCTTACCTCCTCCAAGGGAGAGCTACATCCATGAAGAAGTCAGGCGGTTAAATGCCACCCCTATCGAGGAAGATGCCTTACCTTAGCTAATGGCAGGGCCAGCCCTATCCATTTCAATTCCATGCACCACATTGCGCTTCCCAGATTCCTTCCCTTGGGTTGCTCTTATTGAATTGCCGGATGAGAGATAAGTGTGTGAAGAGAATCAGCCCCAGCAAAGCAAAAACCCTTCTGTCATTAAGACGCTGGTCAGGATTTTGCTGGCTAAGTGGTATTTTGATGCAGAATCCATTACAGCCCACTTTGAAGGCCAGACCATGTCGCTTCCTTCGGCTACGGAGCTGGCTCTGGCTCAACCGTCTCCCTGCCCACCGCCATTTCTTCCATCTCTTTGTGCTTTCTCAAAGGTATTGTAAGTTCCACTCCAGAAGCAACACACAGGAATAAGTAACCAGCCATTAACTTTGAAGAGCCTGCTCTCTGTGACAGGATCATCATAATCCATCAGCATAACAGATAACATAAGCCACTATTAGCCTTTAAAAATATATTTTAATTAAAATACCTGTCTGGCAGAAAAATCAGATTAATGAGACACTATGGGGGCAGAGCGGGAGGGATGCAAAAGAGAAGAAAACATTAAATGCCAGTTTTTACATATGAAAGGATCTGAAAAGTTCTGTGTTAAAAGTCGGACCCAGCCCAACCAGGTGAGGTGGCCAATGCAGTCGGCAGGTTTTGGGGTGCCATGAAAAGGCAGTGGATTATGAATGATGTACATTGCTATTGTTGTATTCTTAGTGGCCAGGAATGGTGCTTGTGGGATTATCAAGGTTTTCCTGTAAGAGTCCCAATTAATCCTCTGTTGCTCTACTTTTTCAGCCACTTTTAAAATGTCCCAGTCTCTTTCTCCTCCATCCACTTTCCCCTTTTGTCCACAACTTACTTCGGTTGCTGCAAACTGAGTTCAGAGTGCAAAAGCAATTTACACTCAGTTAATTCATCCCTTCTCTGTAGACTGGGGGAAAAGGAAACTGTTGCAACCTCTTCTAACTTGTGTATTCTTCCTCCCTAATAACTTTTGTCATCTCAACTATGGTCTGATGTTGCTTGACCACATGTGTCCTGATTGCCATCTGTGAAATGCTGAAGGGTATGCACTCCTCTTTTAAAGCCATCTCAGTTGGTGGCAATAAATTCCATAGCAATAAATTCCATTCTTACCTCTCATGGTTTGTTGTTGTTATCCACCCTTGAGTCGATCTTGACCCATGGTAACCCTGTAGATGAGACATCTCCTGTCCTCCACTGCTCTGTTTGGCTCTTGCAAATTCATACCTGTGACCACCTTAATAGAGTCCATCCATCTAGCATGCAGCCTTCCTCTCTTTCTGTTTCCCTCCACCTTCCTAACATTATTTTTTTTTCCAGTGAGTCATGCCTTCTTATGAAGTGGCCAAAGTATGACAGCCTCAGTCTAGTAATCTTGGCTTCCAGAGAAATTTCTGGCTTGATCTGCTCTAGGACCCATTTGTTTAATTTCTTGGCTGTCCATGGGATCCTCAGCACTCTTTTTCCAGCACCAAATCTCAAATGAATTAATTTTCTTGCTATCCGCTTCCTTAACTGTCCAGGTCTCACATCCATACATGGTAATAGGGAATACAATGGCTTGTATGATTCTACCCTGCCAAATTCATTTTGGCTGGAATCTTGTGGGGGAGTCCCAACTAGCATAGACCCATTGAATCCACAGTTGAACGGTGAGTCAACACACAAATAAACCCCATTGCTTCAACAGATTTACTCTAGTTGGGATTAACCATAAGGTTTAGGCTCATCCAGACTTCAAAGTGCTGAACCTATTTGGGGGATAAGGTCTGTTATCTTGGGAAATTCCTTTAAAGAACAGCTTAAAACACAGAGTGGATTTACTGCCCTACTGGCACTGGCACCACCAGCATCTATTGCTGATAAAATATCTAAGCTGGGTGTTGACTAGAGTAAAATGTGGTTTTCCCCATAATGATTAATAGACTACTGTGAACTAGCTCCATAGAACAGGACCTGGACAATGGATTCAAGCTACAGGAAAAGAGATTCCACTAAACAGTAGGAAGTACTTCCTGACCGTAAGAGCTGTTTGACAGGGGAACACACTCCTTCAGAGAGTGGTGGAGTCTCCTTTAGTTTTTTAAACAGAGTATGTATAG